GTGGACCTGAGTTGCTGGAGCTGGTCGGCTACGTGGACGCCGACGACGCCGGTGACAAGCAGAATAGGACGAGCACGGGCGGCTACGTGTTCGTCTACGGAGAGGCCGCAGTCTCTTGGTCGAGCCAGCGCATCAGGTGCGCGACGTTGTCGTCGACCGAGTCGGAGTATGTGGCGGCCACGGAAGCCGAGAAGGAGGGACGTCGACTTCGCTTCCTCCTCGCAGAGATCCAGCAGGTGGATGCTGGGAAGCTGGCCGTCCTCCGGGTGGACAACAAGTCGGCCATTACTGTCGCTGAGGGCATGGGGTTGACGGGCAACCTCAAGCATATGGAGCGACGACAGGCCTGGCTGCAGCACATGGTGAAGTGCGGGAAGTTCTCGCTGCGGTACATCCCGACCACCGAGCAGCCGGCCGACTTCCTGACGAAGGCGCTGCACTATCCGGCCTTCAACCGGTGCTCCGTCGCCATCGGCTAGGTGCGCTTGGCCGACGTGGGCGACGAAGTTGACGAAGTGCAGCAGTATGTGCCATGCCCTCTTGCATGGCTGGTGCGGTGGACGACGTGCTGTGTGTGGGGTGCACGTCGATGAGCTATTATCTGAGGAGTACTGCCGTGCAGGTTGGGGGCCCAAGCGTGAACGCGGCAGGGGAGTGTCAACGGGAGTTGTGTGTTGGCCCCGTCCTCGCTTGGGCGGAGCCGACTTCGTGGTCGGGTGTGAGGGGAGCAGCCGACCTGCATTAGTGGGCGAGCTGGTTGACGAGGAGGTCGACCTGTTCGGGCGCCGACTTCCAAGTGACGCCGAGTTCAGGGAGATCGACCTGGGAAGTCGACCTGCGGAGGACGTCGACTTGGTGACGTCAACTTGGGGCAGCCGACTTGGGTGGTCGGCTGACAGGACTGCTGGTCGACCTGGTGGTTGGTCGACCAGACCTGCTGGTCGACTTGCTGGTGGTCAACTTGACCTGGTGGTCGACGAGGGAGGGGCCGACGTCGACCTCGACTCAGGACGCCGAGCAGTTGGGCGTCGAGTAGCTGGGCGTCAACTTGGTGCCGCCGACTTCGGGTAGCCGACTTGGGTGGTCGGCTTAACATCTCCTACTCGCCGGAAGCCATTCATCTCTTAGCAGCGAAGTACGCAGAGGAACTTGGCAAGCGGTTCAACATTGCACCTGCACCACTCTCTACCCCTTACCGCACTCCAGGAACCAACCACAAGCCTAACAACAAAACCCTGTCCCCTGCTGGGCTTCAGACTTATCAGTAGCAGTTGGGATGTCTTCTCTTCGCCTCTGTCACCTGCAGGCCAGACCTCTCGTACATCGCGAGTCAGTTGGCCCAATACTCCCACAAACCAACGGCCGAAAATCTATCTGATCTCCAGCGGGCGCTTCAATTCTTCATCTCCACGCCCAATGTTGGGCTCTGCTACTCCACCATCCCAACCGCATCCTTCAACCTCATCGGCTACGTGGATGCTGATCATGCTGCTGATCCCGACAATCGACGGTCCAGGACCGGCTTCCTATTCCACCTCGAGCCGAGCGGCCCCATCTCTTGGAATTCGCAGAAGCAGGAGCTGGTTGCCCTATCATCGGCAGAAGCGGAGTTCATCGCGACAACAGCTGTTCGCGAAGGTCTCTACCTTCAGGAACTGTTGCAAGAGGCGAAAATTCCGGCCTCGGCGAACTTTCGCCTGCACTGCGACAACCAGAGCGCGATCAGAATCGCGAACAAACCTGGATTCGTCAACCGCACCAAGCACATCGCGCTGCGGTACTTCTTTGTTAAGTACGAGGTTGACAAGGGCAAGGTTGACCTGACCTACTGCCAGACAGGTGACATGGCAGCAGACTTTCTCACGAAGAAACTGCCACGTCAGCATTACCAGCATTGCTCTAAACTCAGCGGAGTAGTCAAGCGGGTCAAGACCTGCTACGGCCAGGAGTGAAGGGGGGTGTTACGAATAGTAATCACTGAAACATTACTGTGCACTCCTCACCGCAGCAAACGAAGCACGCACTACTGAGGTTGAAGACGAAAGGGCGGAAGTGACGCGAAAGGTCGCACAGTTATGAAAGCATCTGGACCGTCGGGCATGTCAGAATGTTATGTTTGTCTAGCCTGCAGTGGGGTACTCAATAGTGAGTACAACCCAATTTCGGGTTTGCTATATGTACTCAACTGCTTGCTAGTGAAACCTCACTTCCTTCCATTCATTCCTCATTTCTTCACGAGCAGGTTCCCTAGTGGGAACGCTTCCTTGGGCCCACCACTGAAAAAAAAAATTCTGACCGAAGCGCGAGTCGCCCCTGCCCGAGGCGCGCCCCGTGGGCCGCCCTCTCGTCGCGTCCCCTGCCCTTAGCGGCCCGTCGCGCCCTTCTAGAGGCCCCTCTCACGGCCCCTCGCGCCACCCCTAGCGGCCCCGTCGCCGCCCCTATCGGCCCCGTCGCCGCCTCCAGCGGCCCCGTCGCCGCCCCTAGCGGCCCCGTCGCCGCCCCTATCGGCCCCGTCGCCGCCTCCAGCGGCCCCGTCGCCGCCCCTATCGGCCCCGTCGCCGCCTCCAGCGGCCCCGTCGCCGCCCCTAGCGGCCCCGTCGCCGCCCCTATCGGCCCCGTCGCCGCCTCCAGCGGCCCCGTCGCCGCCCCTAGCGGCCCCATCGCCGCCCTTCGCGGCCTCGTCGCCGGCCTCTCGCGGCCCCAGTGCCGCCCTCTCGCGGCCGCGTCGCCGCCGTCTCGCGGCCCCGGTGCCGCCCTCTTGCGGCCTCGTCGCCGCCCTTAGCGGCCCCGTTGCCGCCCCTTGCGGCCCTGTCGCCGCCCCTTTCGGCCCTGCCTCGACCCTGCCCCGGCCCCGCCCCGGCCATGCTCCGTCGCCTGTCGCGGCGCACCGGGGGCACGTGCACCGCCCCCCCCTCTTTTCCCGTCGCCTGTCGAGGCGACCTGAGGGGCGACCTGGGGGGGGGGGCGAGCGTCGCCCCTTTTGCCGCCTGTTTTGGCGCCCTGGGAGGCCGCGCGTCGCCCCCCCCCCCCCCCCCCGTAACCTCCCTACCCGCCGTCCCGCCCTGCCCTGTGTTAGGGTCTAAGGGTGGCGAGTAGGGGGTGGCGGGTGTGTGGTCTCCCCTGCTCCTCCTCCTCCTCTGTCTCCCAATGCTGCAGCTGCCGCTGAGGGGGGTGGGTGTGTGGGAGTTGACGGAGTGGTGCTAGGGGGTGGGGTGTGAGTGAACCTAGGGTGCAGCAGGGGGTGTGTGAAAGGGGGGTGGGATAGTTTGGGGAGGTTGAAGGGGGGTGGCCGCCGTGAAGCCCGCAGCTCCAGTCGCCCGTGAGACCGTTGTGCCAGTCGCCCGTGAGCCCGTTGCGCCAGTCGCCCGTGAGCCAGTTGCTCCAGTCGCCCGTGAGTCCGTTGCTCCTGCCGCTCAGAGTTAGCCGCGGAGCCAGTTACTCCAGTACCCCGTGTGCCAGTTGCTCCAGTTGCCAGTGTGCCAGTTGCTCCAGTTGCCCGTGTGCCAGTTGCTCCAGTTGCGCCGTGTGCCAGCAGCTTCAGCTGCCGCCCACTACCTCCTCTCCTCTCATAGTCCCTCCTCCTCCACACATGCCCTCGGTGATAGCCTCTAGCTTTGCTTACATTTGTGAACTTTAAACTGTTGCTTCTTGTACTTGTGCTCAGATTGTGTGGTGACATTGTGATCCACCCTGAGCTTGTGTTTTGCTTGCTTGTTGTGGTGATTACACCCCACTTTGGCTATGGGGGTGTGTCAGAATGTTATGTTTGTCTAGCCTGCAGTGGGGTACTCAATAGTGAGTACAGCCCAATTTAGGGTTTGCTATATGTACTCAACTGCTTGCTAGTGAAACCTCACTTCCTTCCATTCATTCCTCATTTCTTCACAGGGCAGACAGCATCAGGCAGCAGCAGTGGCGAGGATTCTGCCCGAACAGTTTCGTAAATGTCTGGAGTCGCACGGTTGAAGTTCGCTGTAATAAATGAATGTACCCCTTAGAGTACATGGCTAGCTAGGACGATTGGTATTCCCCTGTACTATTATTTGTAGTGCTGTATTTGCATGTTTTTATTATCTCAAACATTTACATTCACTCTGCTATTGAGGTCAAGGGCCCACCACCACTAAATTAGTAGTGTGCGAACCTTCATGAGGTGATCATGGCTACGATCAACTTCAGATCACCACACTTCCCTCGCAAACGTGCCTTCCCTTGCAATATCGCCCTGATTTTGCAGCACATGGTAAATTTCAACCCCAATTTAACAGTAAATACTCTGTTTAGAGTATTACTTATAAGGATTCGCTGAGCAATAAATATGGATTAGCTGGTTCTGGAATAAGTGTGCGCCACGGGGTGCAGCGTGCTGTATGGAGGACAGTAGAAACGAGTTCTCTGTATCGCGCCTCCAACCTGCGTGCTGCCGAAATTCCACGGAACTTCTCTGTGGGACCTTCAAGCTGGTGCTTCCGTCAAAGCGATTCTTCTGTTCCGCAAATCCACGTCATTCCTGACGCCCATCATCCACGCAGGCAGCGCTCCGTCAAGGAGGAACAAAGTTGGTTTCACCATCAGGAATGGCAATACCTATGAATCCACTTGTTTTGTTTGACCAGGTTGGGAAGGCTCTAGTATGGTTTGGTGTGGTATGGTAATTTCCTGTGGCTCATGCTGCGGTGCCGTGGCCATCCCCTAGGGCATCCTTCTCGTCTCGTCCCATACATACTACACGGGCGCGTGTACGTACAGCTTCAATGGAGGCTCTGGCAGGGAAATAGGTCACACCACCACACAAACCGTTTGGTTGAGAAAGTGGCATCACCAACACCAATCATGCAGGAGTAGTCATGGGTTGCCAACGAGCTGTGCGGGACTTGTAAGGGCATTACCGATTTAATTATTAAAGTTTCTTTAATATCTCCGCTTTAAGGTTATTATTATTTAATCTATACCTGATGAGTTGCTTGACAGCCACTCCGATGCACGGCACGTGGTGAGCCATGAGTGGTCCATATAGAGGTTCCCGATGGGCCTCACAAGACGGTAGGCCGCTAGCCAACGGTCGTTTAGGCGCAGAGCTGTCGCCGCCTCGTGGGCTGCACGCTCGGCTGCCATCGTACGAGGATCAGCAGGGCCATGCAGAGCAGGCTCAGACGCAACAGGCTCCGGCGCAGCAGCTGGTATACTGGGAGCAGCAACAGCAGCAACAGCAGCAACAGCGGCAGCAGCAGCAGCAGGGTCAGCAGCAATGGCAGGAGCCGCCGCTGCGAATGCCGCCAGCGCCGGTGCCGTACGGCCAGCGGCAGCACCAGCAGCTGCAGCAGCAGCAGCAACCGCCTCGGCCGGGCCTGAGCGCTCGACCGCGTGCGACAGCCAGTTCGTCCTACGAGCAGCGACCGTCGTACGAGCAGCGGCCATCGTACGAGCAGCGGCCGTCGTACGATCACCGACCGCCGTACGATCACCGTGCGTCGTTCGATCAACGGCAGTCGTACGAACGAAGGCCGTTATCCGCATCTCCCGGTATCGCCGCGGTTCGTTCGTACAGCACGGACGTCCCTCCCGATTTTTACAATCCGCGACCGCTTTCGGCAGCAGCGGGCGTGCCACGTGGCCGCAGTGTGAGCGACGACGATGGGTATACCGGAGACGACTCGACGTCAGGTCGACCAATGGTTGACCGACCCGTGGAAGGCCGACAAACCGGTCCGTCATCCGGTTATCCCGCAAACCCTTATCAGGCCCCTCATCAGGCCCCTTATCAGGCTTCTTATCAGGTCCCTTATCAGGTCCCTTATCAGCCGCCGCAGCCGCCGTACCATCACCCGCAGCTTAGTCCTCACGGCGGCGACATTGCGTTGAAAAAGCCTCTTAGTCCGAGACAGGTCAGGAGCCCTAGAGCGCTTAGCCCGCTCGCTGCTGCCGCGTTCGGCATGCGCGGGGGTTACGGCGCGCCGGGGAGGGGGAATGAGGAGTGCGTGTACGGGGAAGACGAGGAGGGGGAGGAGGAGGAAGGCCGCGAGCGCAGCTTGCGCGCGGGGATATTGAGAGGCGCGGCGGCGCTGAGGGAGCGGCAAGCGGGGTCGTCGGACGACGGCGCGAGTACCTCCCCCACGTCTATTGGCTCCCCCGGGGTTCTGCCGGGCGGGGGCGCGGGATGGAGCGGAGGGGCCGGCGGAGGATTAGGCGGCGCAGGCGGAGGATCTGACCCGTCAAATCGTCCTAGCACTGCGAGCAGCACCAGCAGCACCATGAGCGGCGGCGGCGGCGGGTTTGGCGGAGGGTTTGGCGGAGCGGGGAGTAGCAGCAGCAGCAGCAGCAGCACGGGGGTGACGGTGATACGCGGAGTCATGGCCGGCGGATCCGTGGGTAGAAGCGGGGGAACAACCCTAGCGGGAAAGCAGGTGGTGATTCGAATTCGACCAAGAGGCGGCTCCATAGACGCGTCGCACGGAGTGGGTTCCACCAGCAGCAGCAGCGGCGCTGGCGGCGGCGACGGCGGCGGCGGCAGCGCGGCGGACGTAGGCAGTGGCGCGGCGGCAGCGGGTTTCACGGCGACGGTGACGGCTGTGCTTCCGGCGGGCGCGGGGTCCCCCCGTTCCCCGTCCAGCGCGCGCAAACGGGAGGCGGGGGGGGCGGGCGCGCCTGGCGCGGGCGGAGGGAGGCTAGAGGGGGTAGGTAGGCACACATTCGCAGCAGGCAGCACAGGCGGCGATGGTGCTACGGAAGGCGGGTATTCCCGAGAGGCCAACCTCACTCTCCCTGGCAAGCGAACCGACGCCTCGGCCGAACCTAGGTTCAAAGGTGTGACGCGGTTAGGCTCGGTGGCGGCTGCCGAAGCAGCAGCCGCGGCAATTGCGGTGGCAGACGCGGCGGCTGTAGCGCAGGCGGGGAAAGCGGGGTGGGAGCCGCCTCTCAGCCCCCCAGGGGTGCCCGCCATCCCCGCGGAGGGCCGTCTGAGCAGCGAGGGAGACGTTTTTCTTGAGTATCTGCGCAAGGCGGGCGAGGGGAGGGCAGCTGCGCAGTATGACGTGGCAGTGTGCTACGGAGGGGGCTTTGGCGTGAAGCAGGATAAGTCCCTCGCCGCGTACTGGTTCCGAAAGGCGGCAGAGCAGGGATTGGCGCGCGCACAGTACGCTCTAGCAGAGTGCTACGAGGCAGGCGCGGGCGTTGAGAGAGACGAAGAGGAGGCCTTCCGGTGGTTCTTCCGGGCGGCGAGCTTCGGCAGCGGCAAGTACTTAGTCAAGCTGGGGCTGTGCTTTGAGCGGGGGTTCGGCGTGACAGAGTGTCCTGTAGCGGCGCTGTACTGGTACCACAAGGCGGCGGAGCAGGGGCCGAAATTCGCAGCGCAGGTGGAGAAGCGCATGGAGGTGCTGCAGCGGCAGCGGGAGGAGGAGATCATGAGCGCGCGGGGGGAGGGCGTGCCGGTGGAGTGCATCTGCCCGCTGACAGGCAGGATGATGGAGGACCCGGTGGAGCTGCCTGAGACGGCCGTGTGCTGTGAGCGCGCCCAGGTCAAGACGTTCTGGGACCACTGCGAACTCAGATGCCCTGTTACCAACCAGGTGGGTGGGTTACAAACCAGGTGGGTGGGTTACAAACCAAGTGGGTGGGTTACCAACCAGGTGGGTGGGTTACCAACCAGGTGGGTGGGTTACCACCCAGGTGGGTGGGTTATCTAGGTGGGTGGGTTACCTATCAGGTGGGTGAGTTTCCTATCAGGTGGGTGGGTTACCTATCAGGTGGGTTGGTCACCAATCAGGTGGGTGGGTTACCTCGTTAAATCTGGCCGTTTCACCTCTTTGATTTGAAAGGTTTTCCTTTTGTTCTTTTGCCGTTCCTCGTTGCTTTTGCCCTCCCGTATTATGCTCAGACTCCACACTCCCTCTGTTTGTCTCTGCTCTTCAACCATCCCTTTCAGGCTTCCTCCTCTCATGTTTAAACCCTTCACCCTTGTCTTTGCACTCTTCCCACCTTCCCTCCACCCACCCACCCACTTACTCTCCCTGCGCCAGCCTCTCAAGGTGAAGGACATGACGACAAATCTTGCCATCCGGCGCCGGGTCACTGAGTGGAAGGTAGGCACCCTACATTTTCCAGAGCTTTTTTTGTTTTCCTTAATTTTCAGTAGCTTCTCTGTTCCTCACCCTCATTCCATGTTACCACCACCCGCGCCCATGTCTCCTCTCCCCCAACCTGTCTATCCATTCGCCCACCCCCTCTGCAGCTCCCCATCCCTCTCTCCCCGCCACCCCTCGTATTCCCCCCACCCTCCCCTTCCCACCATTCGCCATAACCCCTTGCTCCTCAAACCCTGAGCAAACCTTTTGGTTTTAGTATTTTTTAAAGCCAAATCTTCTCCTTGACTTCCCAAACCCTGCTCACAAAAAGAGCCCCTCTTTCCCTCCCCATCCCGCCATTCCCAAATTATCTCTCTACCCCCACCCAACTTTCTTCAACCCCACCCCACACGCTCCCTCTCTTCTCCTTGACCCCTGACTCCCCCCAGTGAAATCCCAGTGCAAGCGGCAGGCGGAGCAGGAGGCGCTACAGGGGCCAGTGGGGCCTCCAATACGAGCTCCTCCCTTTCTCCCCATCCCTCCCTCCCCCTCTCCCCCCCTCTTCCCCCGCTCCAGCGCAAGCGGCAGGCGGAGCAGGAGGCGCTACAGGGGCCAGTGAGGCCTCGGGCGTCCACCTGCCAGGCAGTCTCGGGCGATGAGTGGGGGGCGGAAGGGGAAGACGAGGGGGAGCACGGCCGGGCTTATGGGCCGCACGAGGAGGAGGAGGACGAGGAGGACGAGGAAGGGGAGGAGGGTGTGGGTGGGACGGCGGTGGACAAGGTTGGGCTGGGGAGTGTGGGAGGGAAGGGGAGGGGAAGAGGTGGAGAGAAGGAGGGAGAGAGGAGGAAGAGCCGGTTTTCTAGGGATCTATCAGAGGAAGGGGAGAGGAGTGGGGCGAGTGAGAGTGAGAGGGAGGAGGAGGAGGAGGTTGGTGGGAGGTCGAGAGGGGCAGGTGGAAGAGATACAGGGGATGGGGTTGGAGAGAGGAGGAGGAGGAGGGGGGAGGAGAGGAGGGACAGGCACAGTGATAGTGACACTGGTTCGTCGTATGTTAGTGATGAGGATTATGATGATGATTACGATGATGGGGAGGAGCAGAGGCGCAAGAAGAAAACGTATAATGATGATGACAAGTATGATGACGAGGATGAGGGTTATACTTCTAGTGAGTACGACAGGAGCGAGGATAGATCGTCAGACAGTGAGGGGTACAGGGAGGGGGCGGACAGGGAGAGGAGCAGGAAGGGGGCAGACCGTAGGAGTAGTAGCCCTAGAAAGGGGTCAGGGAGGGGGCGAGGTAGCAGCAGCAGGGGGAGGAGGGATGAAGATGGGTCGGACTATAGTGACAGTGACTACAGCCATAGTGACTCTGACGAGGGGGAAGGCGATGAGAGGGGCAGAGGTGGCAGGGGCAGGTCCAGTGGAGTGGCAGACAGGAGCCGGGAGACAAGCTTCAAGTCAAGAGAGGGGGACAGCGAGGAGGAGGGCGAGGATGGAGAGGAGGGAGAGGTGGCCGTGGGGCGGGCGTTGGCTCGTGATTCGTCCCGCGACCTGTCTCACAGCTACAGCCGAGGCTCCTCCTCCCGGGCGTACAGTGAGAGCGTGCCATCTGAGCCGTCCATGCGCCGAGATGCGTCCCTGGACGAGCCTAGGAGAGTCAAGGTGTCCATGCCCCGGGGTGGGTCAGTCGGTGGGTCTGTGAGAGGGGAGGGTGTTGTGAGGAAAGAAGGGTACTTGTCTGGTGAGGAGGACGGAGACGGGGGAGAGGGGCTTGGTGTGAGTAAGGGCGAGGAGGAAGAGGGTGGAGAGAGGGAATGGAAGGGGGAGGAGCTGAAGGGAAGTGTGGGCGGAGTGGGAGTGGGTGAGGTTGAGGGGTTGGGGATTGGTGGCGTCGAGACGGGGGAGTCAGGAGAAGGGTTGGAAGCGGAGGGATGGGAGGAGGAGGAGGGGGAGGGGGAGGGGGAGAAGAGGGATCCGACGGAGCTGCTACTGGAGGAGCTGGCTCAGGCCGAGCTGGACTATGGCTTCCCTGGGGCTAATGTGAGTGCTCTTATCACAGAGCGCTCTTATCACAGAGTGCTCTTATTACTGGTGCTCTTATCACTGGTGCTCTTATCACTGGTGCTCTTATCACTGCATCTCAATGTCCACACTTCTCTGCCTGTCCCTCTATCTCTCCTCCCCCGATCCCACCCTCTGGAGGCGAGTCCCACCAGCACCGATCACAGCACAGTCACACCAGCATTCTTCATGGCACGACCGCCTGCCTGCTGCCGCATCGCTTCCGTCCGCCCTATGCACGTGATCCGCGCGCTGCCGTGCGCTGTGACCGGAACAGCTCTGTGTTCAGATTCTCACCGCACATCCCTCTGCGTGCCCTGCCCCTCCACCTCTCTCCCTTCTCCCCCCTCCTCTCCCCACACCCCACCCGTGCAGGTGAGTCCGCGCATGGTGAGTCGGTGGAACAGCACGCGCGAGGACAGCCTGCAGGCCGTCAAGAGCGTCGTGGCCGAGGTGAGTGAGGGCAGGGGAGGGGAAGGGAAGGGAGAGGAGGGGAGAGGAGGGGAAGGGGGAGGGCTGGAGGGTAGTTATGCGAAGAGGGGGGGAGGAGGGGGGGCAAGTTTGTTGAGGGTGATGCTTGCAAACGCCCCATCCCCCCCACTCTTCCCCTTTCGCCCCCCTTGCAGGCGGAGCCAACCAGTGATTGATTGTGGGCCGCGGTGGGCGCTGGCACGCTACCGCGAGGTGCTGGAGAAGCTGCTGCCCGTCGTGAGGTGCCTGAATAGTAGTCCATACAGAAACCTACTCCCCCCCCTCCCCCTCGTCCTTTCCACCTCCCCTCCGCCCCTCTCAGGCGGAGCCAGTGATTGACTGTGGGCCGCGGTGGGTTCTAATGCGGTACCTCGAGAACCCATCTGCACCGCATTGCATATCCCCACTTCCCCCCCGTTCTCAACCCCTCAGGCGGAGCAAGTGATCGACTGTGGGCCACGGTGGGCGCTGGCACGGTACCTTGAGAGAACCCATTGGAACCGTCTTTGCATCCCCCCCAAACGCGTTATCCGCGCTTCCCAACCCCTCAGGCGGAGCCAGTGATCGACTGTGGGCCGCGGTGGGCGCTGGCACGGTACCTGGAGGTGCTGGAGAAGCTGCTGCTCGTGCAGCGGGAAGCTGGACAGAACCTTCTGGGGTCGTGTGCAGGGGGGCCGGGCGGCTCGGGCAGGGGAGCGGGGGAGGGCGAGGGGGAGGTGTGGGAGGCGGTGGAGGCACTGGAGGGGCTGTGTGCACGGGGGGTGCAGCAGCTGCTGTATGACTTCAGGGCCGCGCTGCTGGCCTGCAGGTACGGTGTGTGGCATTGGAGCGAGGTGGGTGGCTTGTGAGTTGACTCACAAGTCCCTTGAAGGAGGGGGGGAGGTGTGGGAGGCGGTGGAGGCGTTGGTGGGGCTGTGTGCGCGCGGCGTGCAGCAGCTGCTGGACGACTTCAGGGCTGCTCTGCTCGCCTGCAGGTACCTCTCCTATGCCCGCGCCTGTGCCTGCGCGTGTGCATGCCTTTGATTCGACCCAAAGGGGGTTGTGGGAGCGCGGGGTGCAGCAGCTGCTTGGCGACTTGAGGGCCGCCCCCAACACCTGCCCCCCTCCTCCACCCCCTTTCCTTCCCACTACAGCCAGCCCTTGGACACAGCAGAGCTGCATGAGGCGGCAGCAGCAGCAGCAGCAGCAGAAATGGCCCTTGTGAGAGATTCCAGATAATCCTTAAATGTATCCAACACCTCCCTTTTCCCACCCTCTCCCCCCCTGTACCCACTACAGCCAGCCGCTAGACACAGCAGAGCTACACGAGGCGGCAGCAGCAGCAGCAGCCCACTCGTCCCGCGCCTCCTCCTCCGCCCATCAGGTTCCCGCCCACGCGCCCCCCGCCTCCTCCCCTTCCACCTCCGCCTCCCCTGCCCCTGCCGTCACCACCCTCTCCTCCAAGTCTGGCCCGCTCCCTACCGCCACTGCTAAGCCCAAGGGGCACGCGCACAAGGGGGGTGGGGGGTCTGCAAGGGAAGGCGGGGAGGATGGGGGAAGGCACTCCGCCCCCTTCCCCTCGCCTGCCCATGCTGACAGGCATGGCGCTTCTGGTGCCGGTGTCAGTGGTGTTGCTAGTGGTGGTGCTGCGGGTGCTGGTGATGGGACGGGGTCGTTGGTTGGTGATTCTGTTTCTGCGACTGGGAGTGGGACAGGGAACAGTATTCACAGGAGTGGTAGTGGGGGCGGCGGGGGGAGTGGGAGGGGGAAGGGGAGGGAGAGGGAGGGGAGGCTGATGAGGAGGCCCACCAAGTGGGTGGGGGCGGACAAGGCAGCGGTGGGGCTGCGGCAGGTGGTGCAGGTGCTGGCTAGAGCAGGCCACTTCGACCGCTGCTTTGACATTTACAGGTGGGCGGGGTGGGGCTGCTGGTGGTTGGGGTTGCTGGTGTGGGGTACCCCAGTGTGTGTGATGGGCGTTGTAGATGGGAGTGCCTCGTTGCAGTCGGTGGAGTAATCTTCCCATGCATGCATGCATGCGTGCTTGTCATGGGAAGGAAGCATGTGCAGTGGAGTTGAGGCGACCCATTGTGTGTGTGTGTGTGTGTGTGTGTGTGTGTGTGTGTGTGTGTGTGTGCTAGGTAAGTGTGTGGTGGCAAATTGGTGGATTGTTCAGCAATGGCAAGTGTGTAGAAAGCGAAGCTATGTGGCACAGAGTGTCATGTGGATCAAGTACTGCTTGTAACATTCACCTCGCCCTCTCCCTCCCCCTCTCCCTCCCCCCTCTCCCCTAGTCCCCCGGCTCTTTCTCTCGCCTTTCTCCTCCCCTCCACCATTTCTCGCTTCCTACCCAAGCATCTGAGGTTTCCTCCCCTCTCCCATTCCCCTGTTCACCTCCCTCCCTTCTTCCCCACGGTATCAGGTCAGTGAGGGAGGACTGTGTGCGGGAGACAATAAAGGCATTAGAGGTGGAGCCTATAAGGGGTACGGCGCACGTGAACCAGCTGCCGTGGCAGCAGCTGCAGCACATCATGACGGACTGGCTTAGAGACTGCCGCCTGCTGGTGAGTGGGTGTGCTGCTGGTGGGGAGGGGTGGTGGTGAGGGGTGCTGCTGGTGGGGAGGGGTGGTGGTGAGGGGTGCTGCTGGTGGGGAGGGGTGGTGGTGAGGGGTGCTGCTGGTGGGGAGGGGTGGTGGTGAGGGGTGCTGCTGGTGGGGAGGGGTGGTGGTGAGGGGTGCTGCTGGTGGGGAGGGGTGGTGGTGAGGGGTGCTGCTGGTGGGGAGGGGTGGTGGTGAGGGGTGCTGCTGGTGGGGAGGGGTGGTGGTGAGGGGTGCTGCTGGTGGGGAGGGGTGGTGGTGAGGGGTGCTGCTGGTGGGGAGGGGTGGTGGTGAGGGGTCCTGCTGGTGGGGAGGGGTGGTGGTGAGGGGTGCTGCTGGTGGGGAGGGGTGGTGGTGAGGGGTGCTGCTGGTGAGGGCTGTGGTGGTGAGGGGTTCTGCTGGTGAGGTGAGGGCTGTGGTGGTGGCTAGGGCAGCTGCGACTGCAGCACACCATGACCGACTGGCTGCGCGACTGCCGCCTGCTGGTGAGGACGGGTGCTGTGCTGCTAGGGAGGAGTGCTGCTGGTGAGGGGTGCGGTGAGGCGTTGTGGTGGTCCATGCTAAGATGCTCACTCCATCTTCACCATGCTAAGATGCTCACTCCATCTTCACCATGCTAAGATGCTCACTCCATCTTCACCATGCTCCTCTCTCATGCTCACAACACAACCACCGTCCCTCCCCTCACTCTCTCCTCTGCCCAACGCCTCTCCTCACTTTCTCTCGCCTTCTCTGCCCCTCCCCAGCTGCGCACGATAATGGAGGAGGAATTCTCCCTCGCCACTTCCATCTTCGGCATACTGCACTCCACCGCACAGAACCGCACTGCCAGCCGCCGGGAACCCTCCCAACTCCTGCAAACCCCTTCCTCCACCTCCTCCACCACAGCCACCAACACAGCCTTTTCCAACCCTCGCCTCCCCAGCCACCGATCCTCCAGCATCCGAACCACAGCCAGCAAGTCCGGGAGGTCCGGGAGCACCCGGACCTTGAGGCTCGGCGACGAGGCTGCGGCAGACTCAGGGAGGGCGATCTCCCTCAAGATATTGCGGCAGGCAGGGATGCCGCGCACGCTGTCAACGCTGATGCACAACGCCAACACGCTCACGGCTGCCCAGGCCACACCAGAAAGGCTTTTCCTGCTTCTCGACATGGCTGCTACTGTAGAAGAACTCATGCCTCAGGTGGGGAGTGCGATTGGCTTGGGGGTTTGATGGTGCTGCTGGGTTGAGTTTGGTGGCGCCTCGAAACTTGAGAGGCTCTTCCTGCTGCTCGACATGGCCGTTGCTGTAAAAAAGCACATGCCCCAGGTGGGGAGAGTGGGCAGGTCATGCTGAGGGCTTGTGGGTTGTGGGTGGGGGGTGGGCTAAGATCTGGAGTTTCTGGGTTTAAGTTGGGGCTGTGGTAAGGAGCCTTTGGACTTGAGTCCATTTGACTCCCTCCGTCCCCTTCTCACCATGAAGTGGAACGATGTGATGGTGGGGCAGCGAGAGTCTGCTGTCCAAAGCGAGTTTTGGGACGTCTCAAAGCAGCGAGAGTCTGCTGTCCAAAATGAGTTTTGGGACGTCTCAAAGCAGTGAGAGTCTGCTGTTCAAAGCGAGTGAGAGTCAATCCTGCTCAACCCCTCTTTCCCCCCTGTGTGTGGCTGGCAGGTGGAGCGGCTGGTGTGCTGGTCCGATAGTGAAGGGCTGCTGGCGGAGTGGCGGGGGCTGACACGCGGCGTGGCGAAGGCGGTGCTGGGCACGTTTGATGCTCTCACTGCCACGCTGCAGGTGCCCGTGGAGCAGCCCCGGCGGAACAAGTGGTACGTGCGATGGAAACTAGTGGTTGAGAGGAGGGGAGGAAGAGGGAGGGGAAAGTATGAAGACAGCAGTGCTGCGCACCTTTGGTGGCAACTGCAGCATGACAGCAGTACTGCCATGCTGCAGTTGCCTGTGGAGCAGCCGCGCAGAAACAAGTGGTACGTGTTGAGGAAAGGAGGCAGGGAGGGAGTTGTTTCTTTTTGAGAGGGGGAAAGAGAGGCAGTTGAGAGGAGGGGTCTGAAAGCAAGTGGTGAGAGCTGCCATGCAAGAGCGAGTCGCACGGGCGTGGCCGGGAGGAGTCACAACTATGGGGATGGTTGAGAGCAGCAAGGAAGAACAATAGGGGAGGCTGACTGGGTGTGACCTCTGTGTGTGCCTTGTGCATTGCATCATATCCCATACTCCGTGTCTTTTGTGCTGTGCTGTGCTGTGCTGTGCGGTGCTGTGCTGTGCTGTGCTGTGCTGTGCTGTGCGGTGCTGTGCTGTGCTGTGCTATGATATGCTGTACTGTGCTGTGCTGTTCCGTGCCGTGCCGTGCCGTGCCGTGCCGTGCCGTGCCGTGCCGTGCCGTGCCGTGCCGTGCCGTGCCGTGCCGTGCCATGCCGTGCCGTGCCGTGTTGTGCCGTGCCGTGCTGTGGCATGCAGGCGGTTGTTCCGAGGAGAGGGCAGCAGCAGCGCCAAGGAGGGCGGGGGAGGGAGCGGGTACCCACCGGGATGGGGCGTGGAGAAGAGTGGAAGCGTGCATGCCGTCACCAGCTATGTCATCAACTACATTGCCACCTACCTGGGCAGGTGCGTGCTGCATGCACCTAGACTTGTCCCGCTCATGTGTGCCTCATGTCCCGCGCACGTGCATTGCCACACGGCAGTGGGCGCGTGCACACTGCGATGTGACCAGCTATGAGGTCAATCACGTCGCCACGTACCTGGGCAGGTGCGTGCTGTACGCACCGAGTCCCAAAGGCGTGCCTCATGCCCCCCGCATGTGCTTTGTCACTCTGCAATTGGGGCGTGCATGCTCTCACCAGCTACATCGCCATGATGCCACCTACTGGGCATGTGCATGTGTTTAGTATGGGGTAGGTACAGCACGATGCCGACTCCGTGTATGAAGAAGTGTTTTGAGACGTCTCAAAACGATGCCGACTCTGCTGCTAGTAGCACTCACCACAGCTGCGTGTAGGGCATGCGATGTAAGCGCAGGTGGGGGTGTGGGCTGGCATGCGCTGTAGGGCATGCGTACAGCTTCCCTCGTCGCCATCTGCCTGCGCAGGTGGGTGCTGCACGCACCTAGACTAGACCCACACACATTTGCCTCGTGTCCCCCGCACGTGCTTTCTCACACTGCACTGGGGGCGTGCGCGCAGTGAGCAGCTACGTGGTTAACTAGTTTGTCTCCTAGCTGGGCAGGTGGATGTGTGCGTATGGCATGTGGCATGCACCCTCCCACCCACCCACCCACCCACCCACCCACCCACCCACCCACCCACCCACCCACCCACCCACCCACCCACCCACGCATTGGCTCATTGTGGGCGAATGGTATCCTACCCACCTCTCGCTACACCCTCACATCACAGCAGTGCGACGTCATCACGGGCGTATGGGTACGGCACACGGATACGGATGCTGGAGAAGCTGCTGGAGACACTCACCACTCCACACCACACCACACCACACCTTATCGAATTAAGCATATCACTCCTTCCGTGCATGCACCCCATGCCCTTGCCCCTCACAGGAGTGCGACGTCATCGCGGGCGTACGGGTACGGCACGATGCTGGAGACTCTCCAGTGGAAGGGCTGCTGCAAGCAGTCGCACGGCAGAGTGCTGTCATATCAAGCATGCCCCCCCTTCGCGTGCCTGCATCCCATGCCCTTCACAGGAGTGCCACGTCATCGCGGGCGTATGGGTACGGCACGATGCTGGAGAAGCTGCTGGAGATGCATGGGCAGGGGAGGAGTATGGAGGAGGAAACGATGAAGGTGAGGGGCAGGGGGGGGGTGGGGGGAGAAAGGGGGGAGAGGGAAGAAGACTAAGAGGTAGTAGAGGTGTGGAGTACGGAGGAGGGAACGATGAAGGTGGGGGGCAGGGGGGGGGGGCGGGGGGGGAGTGAGTGAAAGGCGTGGGGCATACAAGGTAGCAGCAGAGCACGTGAGGATGTTTGGCATGTACTAGTGTGTTTTCATCCTCCAGAAAGGTTGTATCTATCTCTGCACTGCATTCTGTGCAGCGCGAAAGCACAGGCAGCAGAAGCAGCGCTCTTCTCAAAGCACACGTGCAAGGACCCTCTGCTCATACATGCCACCATCGAATGCCTTTTGACTCAACTCAAAAGGCAACCCTCTGCTCATACATGCTCCTATCGCATCCTTACCACACCAAAGATCTCGTCCCGTTGTATGAGCATTGTACAACCCACTTCCCTCAAACCCCTCCAGCCCGCTGTCCACCACACCTCCATCGCTCTTGATCCCCCTCCATTGCTCTCGAACCCCTTCCACCGCCCTTGGTCCCCCCTTCTCTCATGCAGGTGGTTGATGTGTTGGTATGTGACATGAAGGCCAGGGCCAGCACGTGCACCACCTGCTGAGAGATGCTTCTCGACCCCCATCCACCGCTCTCGACCCCCATCCACCGCTCTCGACCCCCTTCCATCCCTTCCTCCTCCCCCGTGCAGGTGGTTGACGCATTAGTACGGAACATGGAGGCCAGGGCTGGCACGTGCAACAACCCTCTTCTAAAGTCCCTCTTCCTCGTCAACAATATCCTCTACATCAACCGGTATGCTTTGTTGCTCTTTTCTAGCCTGTATTGTCTGGTGCGCTTTGTTCTTTTTTGCTTTCTGTCTTGTATTGGCTGATGCACTTTCTCACGAGGTTTTCTGTGTACGTGGGTGTGTCGTATCACCTCTGTTTTGATATTTCCCCTCTTATTCGAAGTTTTTTTCGTAATATTTTTGCCTGCTCACACTCTCACCCCTCACCCCTCCGCTCCCTCACCGTACCTTTGCTCTCTCGGGCAGGTTGAGTGAAAAGATTCACCTGCCCCTGGAGAATCAGAAGCTGCTTGAGGCCCAATCAAAGGCCTTCAGAGAGGCCGGGCTGCAGAAGGTAAGCAGATGGCGGTGTGCCATGTGTTACAGTGTGGCATGTGTTACAGCGTGGCATGTGTTACAGCGTGGCATGTGTTACAGCGTGGCATGTGTTACAGCGTGGCATGTGTTACAGCGTGGCATGTGTTACAGCGTGGCATGTGTTACAGCGTGGCATGTGTGACAGCGTGGCATGTGTTACAGCGTGGCATGTGTTACAGCGTGGCATGTGTTACAGCGTGGCATGTGTTACAGCGTGGCATGTGTTACAGCGTGGCATGTGTTACAGCGTGGCATGTGTTACAGCGTGGCATGTGTTACAGCGTGGCATGTGTTACAGCGTGGCATGTGTTACAGCGTGGCATGTGTTACAGCGTGGCATGTGTTACAGTGTGCCACGTGTTACAGTATGCCATGTGTTACAGTGTGCCGCATGCTACAGTATGCCATGTGTTACAGTATGCCACGTGTTACAGTGTGCCATGTGGTACAGTGTGTCTGTGTCAATGTGCCACGTGTCACAATATCCCGAGTCTAGCAATCTGTTACATTGCACTCATTTCACCATACAGCACACACTGCACCATAGTGTCCATTTCCCTGCCCTCTCTTCCGTCCCTCCACCTCTCAGCCACCCACCGTGCCTCTCCACCTCTCAGCCACCCACCGTGCCTCTCCACCTCTCAGCCACCCACCGTGCCTCTCCACCTCTCAGCCACCCACCGTGCCTCTCCACCTCTCAGCCACCCACCGTGCCTCTCCACCTCTCAGCCACCCACCGTGCCTCTCCACCTCTCAGCCACCCACCGTGCCTCTCCACCTCTCAGCCACCCACCGTGCCTCTCCACCTCTCAGCCACCCACCGTGCCTCTCCACCTCTCAGCCACCCACCATACCTCTGCACCTCACCTGACCCACTTCCCATGGCATGTCTGCTTGCCTCTGCTGCTGCTGCTACAGGTGACGGCATCGTTGGGCGGGCGCGGGAGGAGTGCTGCCATGGAGCCAAGTGAAGTCAACAGGCGGTGAGTCTGAGTCAATCAAGTCAACAGGCAGAGAGCCTGAGCGAATCAAGTCAACAGGCGGCGAGTCTGAGTCAATCAAGTCTAACAGGCAGCGAGTCTGAGTCAATCAAGTCAACAGGCGGTGAGATTGAATCAACCAAGTAAGGATGCGGCCGTGTGAGTTTCAATTCAATATCACTTCAAGAGGCCTCCAGCACGACTGGGTGATCTGCGACGGCGTGTGTGATGCATGCAAGACCCTCTCCTCGCCCCTTTTCCCCAAAACCCCGCCTCACACCTTCCCCTCCTGCAGCCTGCACCGCTTTAACATAGCCTTTGAGGACCTGGCGTTGGAGCAGAAGGACTGGGTGATCTGCGACGGCGCGTGGCGCAAGACCACGGTGCACGAGTGGGCGGCACACCTCAAGCACCTCTACGAGGAGTTCCTGGAACCCCACAGGTGTGCTGGTGATACGTGTAACGGCAGGGCACAGGTACCCCTGATAGATATGCGGTAAGGTGCACGAGTGGGCGGCGCACCTCAAGCACCTCTACGAGGAGTTCCTGGAACCCCACAGGTGCGTGTGTGTTTGCGTGTATGCTGCTGCAGGTGCAGACCAGTTTTGAGGTACCTCCTCTAGATGCGCAGTAGGGTGCTCAAGTGGGCGGCGCACCTCACGCACATCTATGAGAAGTTCCTTGAACCCCCGAGTTGCGTGTGCTGCAGGTGCACTGGTGGGGTGCTGCATTGCTGCAGTGCGGCAGCTGGACAGATGAGGGTTTCAAGTGGGGAAGGGTCGAGGCTGCAGTAGAGGAGTAGGCAGCACATCTCAAGCACCTCTACGAGGAGTTTCTCGAGCCACACAGGTGGGATGGCGCAGCCACACAGGTGGGATGGCGCAGCCACACAGGTGACCTGTCACACCCTACCTCCTTCCTTCCTTGCACCGCCTTCTCCCCGCCGTGTGCCCACGTGGCGCAGCCACACAGGTCATCTGTGCTCAGGGGAGCACCTGAGCACGCTCCGCTCCTACCACTGGGGTCACATGCCATCCGGAACCCCAAGCACTCTTCCAGACCTACCTCCCCCTTTACCCCACACTCTCACCCCATAACCCCGCGCTATGCAGTGAGTTACCTGAGCACGCTCCTTTCGTGCCACTGGGAGGCAGGCGCCGTGGATCTACTCGTTCCCTAATACCCACCGTCCCTTACCCCACACTCTCCTGTGCCACACGGAGCGTGCCACACCACACGGTGTTACAGGAGCGTGCACTGAGTAGTTTTGACTTACCTTAAACCCTAAACCCTCCCTTACCCCACACTCTCCCCATTTCCCCTCTGTGCAGAGAGTGCCTGAGCACGCTCATTTTTGTACCACACGGAGGCAGGCGCCGCTACAATCCTCATGCACTCCTCCAAACCTACCTCCACCCCTTCAACCCACACTCTCACCCTATGCCACCCCCGTTATGCAGTGAGTGCCTGCACACGCTCTCCTCCTACCACTGAAAGGCAGACGCCATGAAGGCAGCTCGTGATCAAGATCCCACCCCGGGGCAGTGAGATCACCTGAGGCTAAAGCACCCTCCCTTACCCCATGCTCTCTCCACTTCCTGCCTCTGCAGTGAGTGCCTGCACCCGCTCTCCTCCTACCACTGGAAGGCAGGCGCCATCAGGAACCTCAAGCACTTCTCCAAACCTACCTCCACCCCTTACCCCATACATACTCCCACCTCATGTACTCTGCCCATCCCCCCCCTCTGTGCAGTGAGTGTCTGCACTCACGCTCCTCCGATCACTGGAAGGCAGACGCTATGGAGCGGCTCGTGCTCAAGCACTCTTTCTGTGCGTGCACTGAAACCAACGCACCCTCCCTTCCCTTGCCCACACTCTCCCACCCACTTCCTCGTCCTGTGCAGTGAGTGCCTGCACACGCTCTCGTCCTACCACTGGGAGGCAGACGCCATGGAGCGCCTCGTGCTCAAGTCTTTCTTTGCAACCTCCAGATGACACCACCTTGCGGGCAGCGATAACGCCTTGTCGGGTAGCAATCAGGCGTTTCAGGGCAGCAATAACATCTTGTTGGGCAGTAGCGTTTTGCTGGACAGCGCTAACACTGTGCCGGGAGGAGTTTATGAGGATGTTTTGCAGGCAGCTGCAAGCTCATTCAACCGGTAAATGGATAAGGCTTCCACTGTTGCAATGTTTCAAGCCTTTTGGTGTGAGCAGATTCGATGGCTTGTTGGAATGCTGGAACAGTGAGGGTGCCTACTGAAAAAATGGCTTTCGAGTCGAGTCCTTCGTGTCTGATCCATATGGAATTGCTTGAGATGAATGCAAGGCTGTAAGGTTCGTTGTGGTTGAGTGCGGTGTCACAAATTGGTTACTAGGTTGGCCTGTAGGACTGCACCCTGAAAGATTGGTGGTGAGCTTTTAGGTTGAGGACGCCTAGGGTTGACAAGTTTGAAGATTTTCAAAGCTGAAATGTGGCTAGTCATGCTCGTACCGTATTACTCGGGATGTAAGCGCACCTGCGCTTATAATAAAACATTATTTTTCAGGGGGGTGCGCTTATAATTGAGTAGAAAATATAAGCGCATGCGCTTATAGAATAACAAATATACAAGTTTAAATTACTAGCACGAAATCTAGTTCGCGTCATTGCGCACCCAATCGAGTCGGTTTGAAACAGGGTTGTGGGTAGGGCTCTCGTTATCAGACCAAATTGGTCTGATGGTCTGATTTTCAGACCTTGATTTTGGCTTTCATCTTATTTTCAAGACGAGGATTTTTACTTCGTCTGATCCGTAAGATTACGAATTTTATTTCATCTGATTTCTCAGAGCAAGCCTGTAAGGAAAATTCCTTTTCCTTACTTCGCATCCCTACTCAACGCGTACATCACTGTAGCACCACAGTCAGCACCGTTACCACTCGCAACCCTCGCATCGACAATCCGCCCGCCACCTTCGCACATAGCACCCCGACCTCACGGCTCGGCGGGTAACCCGCGCTCCGGGCCTCCGCTTCGACACTTTTTCCCAACCTCAGTCCCAGGCCCGTCGCGCGACAACAACAGTCCATTACCGTTACTGTGAAGAAATGAGGAATGAATGAACTAGCACAAGGTTGGGTACAAGTAGGAAACCTTAGGAAACTGTACCCCATAGTGTCTACCCCACTATAACCTAGACAAGCTATATGATATGAGTTTGACACACCCCCATAGGCAAAGTGGGGGAGAAAAAGAGGTCACAAGACCAGTCAAGCAAAGCAAAGCAAGCTCAGGGTGGATCACAACGTCACCACACAATCCGAGCACAAGAGCAAGGCCACAAGGCCAGTTCACATGCAAGATCATATATGAAGGTAAAAAGGCAAGTGCAGGTATAGAAAGATCACAGTACAAGCAAGGTCAAGAAGTGAGCAAGTGAGGCCAAGTAGGCACAAGACCTAGCATCGTACAGAAGCGCTGATGATCACCAGGCGGAAGTGCCTTGGTAAAGATATCAGCAGTGTTGGCCTGAGAGGCCACGTAAGCAAGGCGCAGCTGATCACGCTGCTGCAGCTCACGAGCAAGGAAGTAGCGAAGAGCAATGTGCTTCGTTCTGTGCTCCAGTCTGTGCTCCCGACACAAGGCCAGCATGGCCTTGTTGTCTACGTACAGAGTTGGAGGAGAACGAGGCGGCTCTCCTAGGTCAGTCAGCAGGTAGGTGAGCCAGCGCAGCTCCTGTGCAGCCATGGCTCCCGCGTAGATCTCAGCCTCACAGCTGGAGCCGAGAACAGAAGACGAGCGGGTAGACCGCCACGAAACAGAGCCGGAACCAAGGCTGAAGGTGTAACCCTGTGACGACCGCTGCGTAGCCTGGTCGTCAGCCCAAGAAGCGTCTGCGTGACCTGTGAGGACCACTCGACGTCGCCCTCCAAGCACTAGCCCCATGCCCGACGTACTGCACAAGTAGCGCAACACCCTCTTCGCTGCAGCCATGTGCTCTGGTCGGTGTCTCCCAGGAGCAACATAGCGTGCCAAGATGCTAAGAGGGTATGCAAGGTCAGGTCGTGTGCAGGTCATCAGGTACATGAGGCAGCCAACAAGCTCTGGGTACGGGCCACTCGGCTCTACGGACTCATCCGAAGGCAGAGCTGAGAGCGAGTGGCGAGTAGACAGAGGAGTGGCCTGAGGCGAGGAGTACGTGAAGTCGAAGCGCTGAAGGACCTGCTGCACCATGTGTGACTGAGTCAGGGTAATGGTGCGCTGTGCTCTGTCCCGGGTGATCTGCAAGCCAAGGTAGCTGCGCAGTTCACCCAGGTCTGTGCACGTGTGTCTCTTCTGCAGCTCGGACTTCACGTGGGCGAGTCCAGCAGTGTCAGCAGTGGCAAAGACCAAGTCGTCGACGTACACGAGGATGTAGAACGGCGGCAAAGAGGTGTCGGTGCGCAGAAACAGCGACGGGTCGGCTGTAGAAGGAGCAAACCCAAGAGCCGCAAGTGTAGTCCTCAGTGTGTCGTGCCACTCACGGGGCGCCTGGCGAAGACCGTAGACTGGCCGCCGGAGGCTCCACTGGGTACCAGGGGGAAACGACCCAGTGAAGCCAGGTGGGCGGCGCAGCCAGATCTCCTCGTGTAAGCTGCCCTGCAGGAAAGCTGTGCTGAAGTCAAGAGAGTGAAGCTCGTAGTCGCGCTGAGCGGCTATGTGCAGCAGCACCCGAAGAGTGGTCATCTTCGGGGTGGGAGAGAAGGTCTGAAAGTAGTCAACTCCCTGCCGCTGACTGAAGCCTCGAGCCACGTAACGCGCCTTGAAGACAGGCGGAGAACCCGGCGGCCGCTTCACCCTGAAAATCCACATGCCACTGACGATGTTCGCCCCAGGTGGGGGAACCTCGTCGACGTAGGTGCCTGTGGACTTCCAGGAAGCCATCTCTGCGTCCATGGCTGACTGCCACTGAGAGGAGTAGGGACCCTCGATCGCCTCAGCGTACGATCGAGGAGTCGGGATGTCTGGTGCATCCGGGTCTCCCTCAGGGGCAATCAGCGTGGACACGAGATGAGGCAAAGCAGCAGCAAAACACTGGAACTCCTCCTGCCTGTCCTCAAGGACGTCCGTGCTAAGAGCACACTCACCCCCGACGGACGGAGGACAGACAGACTCAGACTCAGCAACAAGACTAGTAGCGAAGTCCAGACGACAGCGAGCAGCAAAGTCGACAAGCTCAGCAACTAGGGCCGACGCAGCAGTGAACTCAAAGGAAGGGTCAGTGACAACAGTAGCCAGGAGACGCGTGACAGTAGGACTGGCAGTACGAAGAGAGTCAGACTCCGGGTCAGCAAGAACAGGAAGAGAGGACTCTGGAGGAGACGGCAACGGGACACGCAGAGGAGCAGTGGAAGGACGCAGTGCCATCTGGTGTGTGCCTGGGACCGCAGGAGGACGCGGACGCGGAGCACGACGACTAGTGCGAGCAGCACGAACAGGCGACGCAGGACGAGACGCAGGCTCACGACGCTCAGCAAGACCTCCAGTAGGACCAGCGTAGGGAGAAGGAGCAGGTAGGGGGGAGGGGGGCTGTAACTGTGACTACGACTGGACAGGCTGTGGACACTCTAAGGGAGGAGCAGGACCAGTAGAGGCCGGGAGACCAAGAACCTGCTCAAGGAGCGGAACGAAGTACGGCCTCGGCCGCGCAGCGCCTCCAGAACCAGCAGGGACAGCACCAGTACCCCCAGCGGCAGCACCAGCGCCAGTAGCACCTCCAGCTCCAACAGCGCCAACTCCAGCACCCTCAGACGCACCAGCGCCAGCAGAACCACCATCGCCAACACCCCCAGCAGCTCCAGCTCCAGCAGCTCCAGCTCCAGCAGCTCCAGCAGCACCAACCCCAGCAGGACCGGCAGCTCCAGTACCGCCAGCAGCTCCAGCAGTACCTCCAGCAGGACCAACTCCAGCAGCCCCAGCAGCACCCCCAGTCCCAGCAGCTCCAGTACCGCCAGTACGAGCACCTCCGGGACCAGCAGCAACAGTAGTACCTCCAGCTCCAGCAGCACGGCTCCAGCGCCGGGCAAACCACTCGCGCAGCTCCTGCGGAGAGAGTAGCTCCCGCCTCGACGAAGCACCGCGAGAGGCCACACGAGCAGACCCAGCACCCCCAGGCTCCGCACCCCCAGGCTCAGCACCCCCAGGCTCAGCACCCCCAGACTCAGCACCCCCAGACTCCGCACCCCCAGGCTCAGCACCCCCAGACGCAGCACCCGCAGACTCAGCACCCCCAGGCTCAGCACCCCTAGCAGCACCAGAGTCAACAGCTACCTTGACAGGCTCGACTGCGTCTACCTGGGACACACCTGACGGGGCAGGACCCTGAGGGGGGAGGGGGTCTACCGGGGGAGGACCTGGCGCAAGGAAGAGCGGCGGCGGGGGGAGGGGCGCAGTGCGGTAGGGGAAGAGACGGTAGTAAGGCACCGACTCGTCAAACGTGACGTCATGGGAGGACAGAACACGGCGCGAGGTGGGGTGGTAAAACTGCCAACCAGGCGCGTCAGGGGGGAAACCGAGGAAGACGCAGGGAACAGCACGGGGGGACAGCTTGTCCGCAGACAAGTCGCGGACAAACGCCTGAGATCCCCAGACCCGAAACGCAGACGCATCGCCAACCTTCCCCGTCCACCGCAAGGTGGGGGAGGTCTCTGGCAAGGAGACCCGGGGCTGAAGGTTGAGCTGATGCGCTGCGTACTGAACCGCAAACGGCCACAGAAAATGGGGGGCAGCCGCATGGATCATGGACGTACGAGCGACGTCCATGACCATGCCAATGCGGCGCTCAGCAATCCCATTTTGCTGTGGAGAGGCCGGAAGCGTGAAGGTCTGGCGGATGCCCTGTGCATGACAGAAGGCTCCCAGACGGGCAGAGGAAAACTCCCCGCCTCTGTCAGAGTGCAGACGCAGAACAGGAAAGTCCCTGAGAGAGCAGACTCACCAGCACCTGGGGCAGCAGACGCACTAGCACCTAGAGCAG